GGAACAGCTGTTGATTAGAGACTTATATAGAATGATACACAGGGGGGTGAAAAAAACTCAAATCCCTCCTCCCATTCACAATACATTTTAAATGTGGACTGCTGGCTGGTGCACTATTTTTAAAGACATTTGAAAGCAGTATCTCACTTTACAGCACATTTCTAGGCATATCTAGACCAAAGTAAGCTTTGCTGAGTCCAGTTTGCCTCACTGTCAGTGAAGGGGTGAAATACATGGGCAAAATAAAGTGGCTTTGAGCCACTTTGAAGGCAGGGGGTTTAGATAGTGCATGTGGCTAAAATGGGGAAAACAAAAGGAAGCCGTGCTCCAGGGCTAAAAACCAGAACAAAACGAAGCTGGCATACTCTGACTCAAAACAAAAAATGCACTTTATTGCATTGACATATAAACAGCCCAGAACTAGTGCAAGACTGTGGCAAAGCAAAACCACAATTGCAAATAATGCAGCAAATGTAATTACAACATATACAAACCAGAGAGTCCAACAGGGGGGCATGGAGTGAAGGGGGAATGTATGGTGGGCCTCCATGATTGTGCTTTGCCAATGTATCAGTGGACACACTGATGCACTGATACATCGTACAAGTGGTGCATCACACGTGTGACTGTGTGGCTGGTCATATGGCCAGATGTCTAATGGAATGGCATCTGGACAGGAAGAGGGAACTAATTGGGAGTCCCTGATGGTGTGTTTACGCAACAGTGCACATGCATGGTGGGGAGGCAACAAAACTAATAATAACACAGTGTGGCTTGATGCTGTGCAGTGCGGTGCAGACAGGCCGTGGATGATCAGGCCACGTCTGGTTCAGGAGGTGTGGACAGCTGGGGTTCAACCCGCTTTCAGATAATGCAGGATGGAGCAGCTTTTCCTGCCCAACTGCTCCAGTCCTAAGTTAGAAAGGACTGCCTCCATATGCTGTAACCATATGCCTGACATCAAGCCAAATTTAATACAACCATACTTTTCAACTATCCCAATTTGACAGGGAAAGTCCTGATTTATCCTCTGTTGTCTTACTCTTTCAGCTGCTTTTAAAACAACTCATTTTCTCTTTTCTTCTCCCCCTTTCTTCTCCCCCTTTCCCCCTCTTACTTCAGTTGCTGTAAAATGAGTTAAAAGTAACATGATAACATTTGCAAAACTTAGAAGGATATATACATTGTGACAATACTAATATTAATATTGGTAGTATATTAATAAGGCATTTGCCTTACACTGAGCCAGATTATTGATTCATCTCTCTGTTTGTCAACACTGATTGGCAATGTTTCAAGTAGGATAATTTCCTAGTACTATCTGGAGATGCCAGAACCCCAAACCTTCCACAAGTTAGGTATTCCTCTGACACTGAGTTACAGCAACTCTAAATAATCAGTTTTTGTTATTTATGACTAAAATGTACACCCTGTAGTGGGCTAATTGGCCTTCCCAGTGTGAATAAAAAAGAATAAAAATGCAATTTCTACCCAAAAAAAGGCCCATTTAATCCAACAATAAATCAAGAACATAGCACAAACAAGACAGCATGAACTGGACTGGAATTTTATAGTATAGGTAGTGTTCAGTTTTGAAATTTTAAGATTTCTTTATTTGCAATATTTTAAAGAACCAACAACCAAAGCTATCTGGGTAGCTTACAATAAAAGAAACGAATTACAGTGTAAAATTAAAACCTTAATATCTAAATACAATATAAAACCAACATCAGAGGATAAAAAAAGAATAAAACTTACAGCACCACTAAAAATTTCTCAGCTCTTAAAAATCCAGAATCAACAAATCTATAAATTACAAATAGATTTTAAAACTAAATTGGCCTGCAGAAATGAAAAGGTCTTCACTAGGGAAACATCTACACTACACAACTGGAGCACTTTCATATTATTTCAAATGACATGGCTCCATCCTATGGAGCCTTGGGTTTTGCAGTTGCATGAGATGCCTAGTTTCATAGTTGAAGCTGCTAATTATGTACCAGAAAACTGAATATTAAGTAAATGGATTAGAAAATTCTAAGTACTACCAAGCTACAACCTCTAGGATTCTGTATGATGGAGCCTTGGAAGTTACATGGTATCAAACTATTGGAATTGTACCATGTGAGTAAACCTCTATTGCTGAAAACATCATAATATAGGTGTCAGATGGGCCTTTCTGGACTGGACATTCCATAAACATAGTGCAACAATCTAAAATATTCTTTCTCCTTAGGAAACCACTAGTCACATTTGTTTCAGCAAGGGCACCCAAAAATGGATTTTCAATCAAAACTATAAAATGGGGATAAGTAATTGTGGGGGACAGGGATCTTTTCAGTTACCTGGCCCTGGGCAATTTATGGCTTTAAAAATACTTCACCTCTGTATTGTCTATGCTGTTAACTGAATGATGAAACCCAATGCAGCCCCATTTACAATATACAATTGGACTATCATTCCATTTTAACTGTGATGACAACATCCTATGGAATCCTGGGATTTGTAATCTCTGAGGTACTAAAACTCTCTAGTTGAGAATGATAAGTGTCCCTAAACTGCAAATCCCAGGATTTCACAGGATGTACACATGGCAGTTAAAGTGGAATCATGCTGCTATAACAACATAATGTGAAAGGGCCCCAAGACAGCAGTCTGATGGATAGCACATAAACAAAGGATTCTAGTGTTATTTAAAAGTGTACACAGTGACATAAAATTAATTGCTCATGTTATTGTTATTGTACTACACAATCACTAACAGAACATCAGATATAAAAGTCTCTGCATCCTAATAGTCTATGTATCTGCAACTATATATCTGGGATCTTACTAAATTTTTCCCCACCTTAGGGACATTCTGTTCTTAAGCATGACACAATGATTTTGGAATGTGAATATTTTAGACTAAAATAATCCTGAGCTTGATCCATAAGAAGCTGTCAGAGTAGCCAGGTATGAAGTACATCTTCTGCTAATTACCAAATATTAGCTTCTGGCAAATCTGGGGGAGGGTGAAAAACTTTTAATTTTCATTTTACATTATCTTTGTGAAGAATTTAAAAAGCGGAGGGCTTTCCTTTCATTATTATTTCTCCTGTTCTAGGTCTGATTAATTTTAGTTTTAAAAGACTTGATGTCTAAAAGGAATGTCACCTGTGGTAGTTTATCCTACAAACTAATGACTTTTGTGGCCTTGTACCCACCGGAATATTGATGTAAACAAATGAACATCTTTTTCATATTTTCTGATTAATGCCAACCATCAGGTGTTGTGAATAAAATCTCATTAGTGTTTTGATTTTATTCAAAGAATGCTTCATTACCATGCAAATAGAATAGGACCTTGTTTCTAGCCTGGCTAATTGCCAGCAAATACATAATACTAAAAATCAAATTCCTGTGTAATGGATGCTTTGTGCAGCCTAATGAAGGTAGGTAGCTTCATCTTAGTTTATTAAATGTTGTAAGCAAAACACCAATTGCATCAGACATGGAGTGGTCCATTTGCTTTTCCCATTATATATTTTCATTGGCAACATTAAATATTCTAATTCCCCTTCTTCCATGTTTCCTTCTAGCCTTCTGTCCCAGCTCCCAGCACCTGCAAGTAGCTTGTAAATGTAAGCAAAAATGTCCTAGCATGACTGCAAGCAGACAAACCCACCTTGACTTTCTGTCAGAGGTCCTGACCCCAAGTTAACTGATGCCATCACAATTGTCACCTGTGCTACTGTACCAGTATTCCTAGTTCTGAATGTTTTCAGTGGTTGCTGTATTACTGTGTTCTTCAAGTTCTGTCAAGTGTAACCCTGGGTGTACACTTGTCCAAAAAGGACACTCAAACAACAATGTATGTTTTGGGGAATTAAAGTTAGCTCAAAGGTAGCACTGTATAATGGCTGGGTTACTTAGCCTTGGGACCATATCTCTATGTATACCAAGTCCAGAGACACTAAGAATTCCAGAGACAGGTTTCTAAACAAGTAATGAGTTTTATTTTGAAAGGTAATTCAACAATCATGCATAACAAACAACCACACATGCTCACAAGGACTAAGAAACCCAAAGGTGTTTAAATGAGAATACAATAAGGCTTACAAGGAGATACTGCACCTGAATGGATCCAACTGCTGAGGGTCCTGGATAGGATGGAGGACTCTGTAGCTTCCACCCACATGGGGTTGGCAAGCTGCAGAGGAGCCTAAGTCAAGCAAACTCACAGCATGCTGCCTGCTGCTGGATTAAGCCTAGGAAACAAAGGGAGAGCACCAAAAGTTATAGAAAATTTTAGCCCTGGAGCAAAATTCAGGGAATAGAAAAAGGCAGATAGGGGTGCTCCCTTAGAAATGAGTTGGAAGTTGGTTTTCTGAGGAGGTAACACTAGGGTGTGAGGATAAGTGATTTCCGAGGCCAGGAAGATTAGTGCACGGAGATGCCAGAACTGTTTACTCCTTGGTGCCATCCATTGTTCTATTGCTATGGGTTTTTCTCACCCCCTCAAGGATGTCCAGAAAAGCAGGGCCCAGGCTACTCCTGTTGCTACCTTATGTGTGAAGGAGGAATCACAATAATGGTGTTCACAGTAGGGTCAAAGAAGGGCCATTTAACCAGCATTTTATTGCAATTCTGCCATCAAAAGAGGAGAGATGTAAGGAGGCTAACACATGTGATAATTGTTACAGTCTGAAAACCCAATAGACTATAGATTCCATCACCCATTATTTCTTAAATTCTAACCAGACATTCCCATAAGCCAAATTCCATTCCTGAAATACCAAACTACTTTGACTTCTTATCAACCAGATTAAGTCCTCATTCCTCCTTTAATGATGCAGATTCTTTCACAGTCACCATGCTCTTCTGTAGAAATTGTTGTTGTTATGTACTTTCAAGTCGACTCTGACTTGTAACAATCTTATCCTTGCCCCTTTCTTGGAAAGATTTATTCTTCTAAGGCTGAGAGAATGTCTTTCCCAAGGTGACCCAGTGGATTTCCATGGCTGAGCAAGGACTCAAACCATGGTCTCCCAGACTTCTAGTCTGGCTTTCAAACCACTACACCACACTGACACTCCCTATAGCAGTAGTAGTAGTTAACATACAACACAGAGACACAAATACAGACATCTGTTGTTGTTGTTGTTGTTGTTATGTGCCCTCAAGTTGACTCTGACTAATAGTGACCTTATCACAGTATTTTCTTGGCAAGATTCAGAGGTGCTTTGCCATTGACATAATCTTAGGCTGAATGAGCAAGACTTTCTCAAGGCCACTCAGTCTGTTTCTATACTGAGCAGGGATTCATGTCCTGATCTCCCAGAGTCCAAGTCTAACATTCAAACAACTAAATCACCATGTCTCTTGATACCATTCATATTAAAAAAAAAAAACACTTCACATTTGATATAAACTGTAATCAATAAATGAATACAATAAATAGCAGTATGCAGCATTAAATGATAATCCAAAACAATACATACAAAAGGTGCTCATCCACAAGACACAAATTGCATTCTTATGTGTACATACAAACTCACACACTATTACTACATTTATTATTATTATTATTATTATTATTATTATTACCCACCTCTCCCCAAGGCTCAAGCAGAATACAACATAGATTAAAACACATAAAATCATTTAGTTAAAACTCATATACATAGGACACATTAAAACCACCCAGCATAAAATTAAAATAACTAAGCTCAGGTGTCAGTGATGTACTGTAAGAAGTAGTCCTGTATTATGTCATACCTGCTCTGATTCTGTTGGCCAGAAACAGGGTGGTATCTGCATGGGCCAGAATAATCTGAGAGCAGCCAGAATATCCTGGGAGTATTGTGGTCCAAAAACTGCCCCAATGTCCCCATTACCTGGGCACTCCAAAGAGATGGTGGGTGTCCCACTGTGCCACTCACCTCTGCTCAGGTCACTTCCTATGAAGTTGGAAACAAGGCACCCAGCATCAATCACATGGCTGGGCCCCTTGTTCTGACCTCAGAGGGAGTGACTCATGATGGTATTGACAGGTGGCACAGTGAAACACATTGTAAACAGCTTCCTGTGATTGCTCTGGAGGGTTCTGAAGGAACCAAAGCAAAATGTGAGGGGTTTTAATTTGGTTTAAGGGGGCTTACAGCAGGTTAGGTACTGAACTGGCTGATTGTTATCTGGACAATTCACAGCAGAATTGAGCCCTGTGTCATCAGGGCTACTTGTTGTGAGGATGTGTGGATGACAAGGTATTTGGCCTGTTTGGACACAGCCAGGGCCAAAGTGGTACAATGTTTAGAATATTTCACAAAAACTGGGAACATAGAGGTTACAGCCACCAGTCAGTCAAGAAACTCACAGAGTAACACAGTAGTGCTACAGAAGAGAACAAAATGGCACTGAAAGCTGAATCAGAACTTAGGCCAAACTTGGAAAGTTACATTCCAGAATGCAATGACATATTGATGCCATCTATAATTTAGTAGGATCAAGATTTTGACTCTCTGGATTCTGCCAATTGTAATCCAGAGCATCATCCTTTATCATTGCTCACTTATTGATGACTTCAGCATATCATTATTCTTAAAAGTAACTTCTCAAACTCAAATTCCTGCTCAGCATGAGCTGAATTTTTAATAAAGTTATAGTAAAGAAGAATCAAAAATAGTAGGCAGATTTGGACTAGGCAAAAGAAATGAAGCAAGTGAGCATTTGATAGATTTTTGTGAAGCCAGCAACCTATTCATTGCAAACACACTTTTCATACAACCAGAGAAAATGTTATACACAAGGACATCACCAGATGGCCAACACAAAAACCAAATAGATTACATAATTGGAAGTAAAAGATTATGAAGCTCCATACTGGTGGCCAAGACTAGTCTAGGTGCTGACTGTGGCACAGATTATGAACTACTTGTATAAAAAATAGAAGTAAAATGTCCAGCAGTCAAAAGGAAAGTGAGGAAACCATGGATGATAGATAAAATGCTACAAGCAATAAAGGAAAGAAGAGAAAACAAAAAGGAGATAGGAATAAACTAAGAACCATAAATGCAACAGTACAGTGGCTAGTGTGTAAATTACTATAACAATCAATGTAGAGAAATAGAAGACAACAACAAAAAGGGAAGAACAAGATATCTATTCCACAAAATCTGAGAAATCAAATGAAAGTTCAAACCAAGGACTGGGACACTTTATGACAATAAAAATAACATAATTCAAGAGCAGGAAGGAATAAAAAGACATTGGATAATTCAAGAGCAGGAAGGAATAAAAAGACATTATATAAAAGAGATGACAACATGAAGGACATATGGAATGAAGACCCATATGAAGATGAACCCCAGATTCTAAAAACTGAGGTGGAAGCTGCAATAAAAGAAATGGCAAAAACAACACTCTAGGAATAGATGATATTCCAATAGAACTATTGCATTTCACATTGACAGAGTCAATTCTAGTTCTAACCAACATATGTCAACAGATATGGAAAACAAAATGATGACCAACAGATCAGAAAAGATCAATATATATTCCTATCCACACACACACAAAAAGAGACACATGAAACTGCAGCAACTATAAAACCATACTACTTATCTCCCATACAAGCAAATTATGCTCAGAATACTGCAACATAGACCCCAACCATGGAGAGAGAAATCCCAGAGGTTCAAGCAGGGTTCAGGAAAGGAAGAGGCAGTAGGGATCACATTGCAAATATATGATGGCTAAGGGAGTGCAGCAGGGAATTCCAATAGAAAATCAGCATGTGCTTTATAGACTACAGCAAAGCCTTTGATTGCATAGATCATGAAATGCTATGGAACACCATTAAAGACATGGGAGTGCCAACAAATCTGATAGTCCTGATGAGGACTCAGGACAAGAGGCTACTGTCAGAACAGAACACAGAGAAAGACCCCCCCCCGACTAGTTGGGAGGGGCCTTCTGTTGCATCGGCCAAATAAGGGCACTGACGCGTAATTGGCTTAGCAGACCGGAAGGCCCACTCCTCCCGGTCTGCTTGGCCAATGGGAAAGAAGTCTTGCTCCGGAGTCTCGCGAGAGCTCAAATCTCGTGAGATTTTGGAGTGAGATTTGCGGGGCTATAAAGCTCCGCGTTGCCTCATGGTGTCAGCCATTTTGATTTGGACAAGCAAGGAGCACCTTGGTCATCCGTTATCGGCTCCAGGGCTTTTTTGGGCCTGAGAGAGGCCAAGCCCTTGTTACAGGAGCTGGAGCCCCTGGCGAACAGGCGCGACTTGAGCTGTTTATGCCTGGTTCCCAGGGAGCTTGTACGACTCCCCACCATGTTTCGGGCCGGTGCGAGGCTGGGCCCGTGTTTGGGGAGATGGAGCTTTGGCAGCCAGGTGCGGCAGGAGCCACGTGTCCTCTCGCCACCAGGCCAAAGGAGACGGTTTGCCCTCCTTCAGGGGATCCTCAGGAGGGAGGTTAAGCTAGCAGAGTGGAGCGCGGCAAATAATTAAAAAAGAAAAGAAAAGGCCGCGGCTCCTCCTCTGGGTTCTGGGGCTTGGGCACAGCCTCTAGTGGCTGATTCACCTTGCCCCTGGGTGGCCATTAGGCCTTGTGGTGCATGCGTGCACAGGAGGGACAGGCCCCTGGGTGGAGCAGACGACCTTGGGATCAAGGTCCGCCCCCCCCAACGTATTTATATTTATTAAAAGCGAAGGTGGTGAGGAGTGCCCCCCCACTCCTTCAAACATCCACTGTGGGCATTTTGTTCAGGCCTGGAGGGGGCTAATTAGGTCAGCTAGGCCTGGCCATTATTATTACTATATAATAATAACAATAATAAGAATAATAGCAACAACATTAAATTAAAAAAAATTGGGGGGTGAGATTGGTGATAAGGGCCTCCTCTTACCTTGTGGCTAACCCGGTTTTGGTTGGCAGTTGCTGAATGGGAGCACGTGCAGTAGGTAAAAGACGCTCTACACAGACAAAATGATTGTTTCACATTACAGATTGGTGACACAGGTATAGCCTTAACTACAACTCTATATCCTGCACCAATTAGTTTAAATAGCTAGTTATTGTTATTTTAACAATCATGCCGCGTAGTAAGACTCAGTCTAAGCGACATGCGACCTCAGCTGGTCCTACAGCTGGTCAGCCAGCACCTAAGTGAGCCTCTAATACTCAAAATAAGGAAGATGACATCACCACTCATTTAGCTCAGATAGGTCGCACAATGCAGGCTTGTGCTGCAGTATGTGAGCAGTTGGCTCATCACCATTTACAAAAGGGGGGGGCAAATAACTGCATCTCCTATTGCCCATTCAAATACAAATTTAGGTCAGAACACTACACAACAGGCTATTGATAATCCAATGTCACCAGACACTGCATGCAGCTTCCCAGGTACATCAACTATGGAGGTTGGGCAACCAACCGTAGCTGATGTAATGGAGCTTTTGAAGAAAGTTCCTGGTGTGGGGCATCAGGGTGCAACTGCCCCTATGTCTAGTCAACCTACTTTGGCTGATCTGTTTCACTTTCTTCAAAGTGTGGTAGTTACAGGTCAGAGTGATGTGACAACACCTGCGACATCCACGGCTTGCAATAGTGATGTACCAGGTGTACATGGTGGTCAGCACAACACCCGAGCTGCTTCTGTGACATTCACGGTGGGAGCTCAGCAAACATCAGTGGATGCTTCTCCTCAGATGAGCTAAGGTTTGTCAGACTCTAATAATTACAGGCATTATGGCCTTCTGCAGTATGGGCTACAGGTGGGCAGACAGGGTTGACCTCGATAAGCAACCGCCCTAGCCCAGCACCTGGGATACCACCTCTAGCTGACATGGGTCTAGCACAAGGTTCGGACCCAGGGGTACAGCCTAATTCAAATGTTAATAACACGGTAAGTCAGGTAAGGGAAACTGCTGTTGTAGGTGCATTAGGCATTTCTGGGACTGACCGGTCTTTTGAATGCAATCCATATGCAGGGATGTCTATGCCCTTGGGGTCGCACCTTCCCATAACCACAAAAGAAAGGATTTGGAAGGGTGAATATATTGATTTTTTTTCACTCACATTTCGTGA